TCACAATCAGTTAATTTATTTTTTCTCAGAATGAAGTTGTTTATTGATTTATACACGCTATCGTTCAAAAGTTTGTGGTCAGTACATTTATAATGTATAGTTTCTATTTCAAATATTTCTATGTGTTAAAAATATTATAGTTTCCAAGGAGCAGGACTGTTTTTAAACCTTGATCATTTCAAGAAATGTTCCTTGAGCACCAAAAATGTAACCAAGTAATATTTCACCATATTACTATTTTACTGTTTTTTTTATTTTTTTTATCAAATACATTTACTAAGCCTTTGAACAAGTGTAGATTAAAGTATTTTATGAATTTGAATTATTCAATCTTAATTATAATTTGAGAATGGATATTTTATATAAACCTACTCGCTTCATTTCTCTCCAAAGAAATGAATGGTGAACAGCCTTTCTGCTACTGTATTTTCCTTGTATGGCTGTACATATCTGAGGATCTCTTCTGTGTGCAGGCATGTTTGGCCTGGTTTTTGGGATCTTCGGGATGTTGGCATACGATGGAGACAGAGTCCAAGAACATGGAATGTTCCAGGGCTACAACACGCTGACCTGGATTGTGGTTGCTCTTCAGGTGAGCCTTGTGAAATCTTGTGAAGTACAAAAGTTTACGTGTCAGTCAGAGTTAATAACTGCTTCTTATACTACAGGGCTGTTGAATGCTTGATTCTGATTGGTTGAGAACGTTCTAAGGTGTGCAATTATTTTCAGGTAAACGCACGGCTAAAGTAGTTTCAGGCAGGATTGACCGCATTACAGTTCCATATCACTGCGGGTAGTTAACTGTAATAACGGAAAATAGGATACAATTCATAACAAACATGCAGCCCCATGCGCTTGATGGGCAATTTTTGATGTCTAACTTCACATACAATTTAATTTTAATAAATAAAGTATGTAGTCCAATCTATAATAGGCTAAATAGAAAATTAAACTGAATAGGCTATATAAAGACATTGATAGTCCTGCTGCACGGATTTTCGTAATTACTCCAGGTAATATAACAAATAACAATTATTGATTGGCCTAAGGGGCTGTTAAAAGGGCTTTGTGTGTTTCATTTTTGGGTCATCTACTGTCAATTATGGAAAACAAGAATGAACAAATTAATTAAAACGAATTTAATAAATAGATAAATAATAATATTGACGCACATGCTTTTCTGTCTCATTATTTTGACATTTTTCTATTAACTGCATAAAGACAGGACACATTTAGGCCTACTAAGGCCAGTTATGAATGTAGTTTGATACTTATGACTGATCATGCCCAAATGCGTTCAGCACGTTCAGTCTGTGTTCACAGTTGGTGTTTAAGACCTGCTACAGTTGATGGACAGTCGGTCTTTGAATATTTCAGCGAGTCGTAAGTGTGTCCCCCATCATTAGTCTGCTATCAGTGGCTCAAACCTCCGTTGCTACCTCTGAAATGACATTTTGGAATTGGCAACGGAGGCATGGGATTAGATGCGTAAGAAATTAGTCCTACGTACAAGAGCGTTTTAATGACAAAAACTTGACAAACGTCTTGAAATGCATCATCTGAAGTGAACAATGTTTTTAGGGGTGATAACTGTAGCATAAGGGGAATAATTGACTTCAGGCCATTGAATTATTAGAAAAATAATGCACACCCAAGGTTCAATTCAACGGCCTGTCGTCAATTATTCCTTGCATCATTAACAGCGAACAGGAAGCCAACGCAAGCTTTTCTCCTGGAACAATATCAATGGATTATTTGTTTTATTTCACACAGGCTCTTGGAGGACTCGTAATAGCTGCTGTCATCAAGTATGCTGACAACATACTGAAAGGCTTCGCTACATCACTCTCAATAATCCTCTCCACATTAATTTCATATTTCTGGCTTGAGGACTTTGAGCCTACTAGGTAAAAAAGAAAATGTGATCAATTAATGCTTTATAATGCTTTTAATTGAAATTAACTGTTTTTTTCTCTGCTGCGCAGCGTGTTCTTCCTGGGCACAATATTCGTCATGATAGCGACGTTTCTCTATGGTTATGAGAACAAGCCGGCAACCAACCCAAGCAGAGCATGATAAATGGATGGATGATGTGAAAGTGGAGTGGAACAAAGGGATGAGACGAGTGGAAGGACGGAGAGGAGGCGTAGAGAGCGGAAAAGGATTGATTCAAGGTTGGATAACAAGCTGGGCCACTGCTGTGCAGTGCTGAGCTGAAGCACACTGGGTGAAATGCTTTGGGCCTGTGGTTTCAGTGAAACTCGTTTAGCTTGAAATCATTCATCATCGCTAATCTCATTAGTGGGTGATGGATAAAAACACTTCGTAACGTGCCATCTTCAGCTGATTCTGGATGAGCTGAGCTTTTTTTGGATCATGACTTGAGCACTGAACTCGTTTGGCTCTTCTCAATCATTTAATATCTGTTCATTTTGAGCAATGGCTGCTTTTGGATCGCTAATTCGCCACAAATGAAACTTGAATCTCGCATTAACTCGCCAATGGATATTAGGCTACTAATGGGGTTGTTGCATCACTGTATTTTTGTGTTATTATTCAAACTGCTTGCGTCCTACAAAAATATATTTTATGTTATTTTAATAGACTGGGATGCTGGGTTAGATTCCGTGCCATAATAATTGAGGGAATGATGTACCTTTTGTCAATATGATGTAAACTTTTTGATATTATTATAATGAAATGATAATTACAAGGCTTATGACAATGAGGCTAGCCGGTCAGTTTGCGGGATATGGTGATTACAGATTATTTTACGGATGACCTCTGTCACCAGGCAACAAAGTACGGAGCCCTTAAAGGGACATGTTGATGGAAAAAATATTATTCAATGCTGTAACATTTGCTCGTAAATGTTTTGCGTTCCCCTGAGAATCAGATTTTGTGAACGAACATATGGTTTCTCGAGGGAACGCAAGCATTTTGCGAGAGACCGCAAAAGCATTGACAATTTTCCTTCCCTTCTCATATCCTTTAGGGGCTCTGTAACAAAGAATACTTGAGTTTCTCCATTATATATGCAAGGAAGTGCTTTTTTGGTGACTTTGCGCAATATGTGAAGCTATATTGGTATCTGGTGATGAGTAATAATAAATCAGGTGTTTAATTATATATATATATATATATATATTTTTTTTTTTTCAAACAATACATACATTTTCACCATGGCAGCACAAAATTTAAATGAAAGAGGTTTGGCATTTGTTTCAAAAGGTGTAAAACAATGCATGCAATCACAGCTTGCAAAAGGTAATTGATTAAAAAGGCAAAAAGGTTTTTCTGTTCTTACATACCGTTGGCCGTTCAGATCTATGTTTTTGTGATCAGTCAGGAGGATGCTCTATCTGTCCGAGTCCTTCAAAACACACTGAATCACAAAAACAATAAACTTTACAGTGACCTCTGAAGACCAGCATCGGTAATGTTGTTTTTGAAGTCCGTGCATCAAATATGGCATCATAAGTTTAGTTTATACAATTCCAATGGCTTTAATGCTCAGGCGAACTGATTCATTTTTGATAATCAAGCAGTCACTCCACTGTAATTTGTGCTGGCGCTGCATGGATACTCTTGAGGAGGAAGAAGAGGGTGCTTCAAAGAAGAAGGTGGTTTTGTTGTGCTTTCCTGTCTGGATGTATGTTCGTTATCTCAGTAGAAATGTCCGGACTCGGAATAGTTTGCACCTCTCTAATGAGTAGCGGTGGGAGTTGGGTGTTTTCAGCAGTGGTCAAATCTTTCTGTTGCACTCCCTCGATTCCCTCGCTACAAGATGAGCTGACAAGTGAAATTGTAGAGAGCTCCAGACATTCTTCAGCTTGGAGCTTAGAAATTCAAGCAGGCAAAGTCCTGTCATTTCCACTTCAGCAGTATTCACAGTCCAGGTTATGCTCTGTGGAACTGAAAAGTATGATATCTCGTCTTTTGCATGCTGAATAGCAAATATATCTGACAGTTGGGGCTTTCTGTTTCCTTCAAATGAACTTTGAATGAAACCAATTAAGTTGAAAGGCTATACTGAATTCTGTTGTACACCTTCTGAAGTCATACATTCATTCACAACCGTTTCTCTTGTTTTGCAAGACAAGTAGCATATAAAGCTTGCTGCTCTGTCTTAGAAGGTTTACACTTAAAGAGAACTTTAAAAGAAAAGGTTGGAGTTAAATTATCTAGAAATAGATTAATTGTTTGTAATACTCCACCCAAAAACAAACATTAAAATTCTGCCATCATTCACCCTCATTGACTTCCATTGTATGGACAAAAAAAAAAAATCTCAAAATATTTTTATGTTCCACAGAAGAAATAAAATCAATCAGGTTTGGAATGACATTATGGTTATTACATTATGAATGTAATTTTTTGGTGAAGTGTCCTTTTACGTATACCAGAAGAATGATTTATTCATCTTCATCCTTGAGGTTTTAAAGCAGTTGTCAATTGCTTTAAAATTGTCTACAATATCATTATTCCAAACCTGTTCGACTTTTTCCTTAGTGGAATGCAAAAGAACAACTTTTGAAAAATCCTGTGTTTTTTCTTCTTCTATACATTGAAACATACGGAAGCATATTGCAATTACTTGAAGAAAAAAAATCTACTCTGTTTTTTCTGAATTAACAAGTTAATTATCTCAGAATTATGAGAGAATTTTTCATGGTTTTTCAAGTTTTTGCTCTGTTTTTCTAAATTTAACAAATTAATTTTTCATGAGAAAAGTTTTTGCTCTGTTTTTCTGAATTAAAAAAAATTCCATGAAAAATTAACTCGTTAATTCAGAAAAACAGAGCAAAAACTTTTTTTCCATGACAAATTATCTCGTAATTCTGAGATAATTAACTTGTTAATTCAGAAAAACAGAGTAGATTTTATTTTCTTCAAGTGAATGCAATATGCCTCTGTAGTAAGTCAGTGGTGTCCAATGTAGTTTTGTTTCATTGGATGGACAAAAGCATTCTTTAAAATATCTTCTTGTGTCTTCTTCACACAAGGAACGAAAGTCATCAAATTTGAAATTATTTTGTAATTATGATTTTTTTTTTTTAAATGAACTGTCGCCGTAAGTGTCTCAATGGCCATTTGAGAACCAAGCATCTCTTAAAAGGCAGTAGTGTGGTTTTAAGGCAAATTTTGATTTGAAAACTTTCATGTTTTCCCACAACCTGCTACTTGGAGGGGATCACCACTAATGGCGGTCCTCGCTTGGGCCTCCACATTAGCACTTGAGCGTCATTAGCATTAGGTTTGCCCAGAGCTTTAAGGGGGATCGGCTCCATATGAGTCAACACCTTGGGCTGGTCCTGGTACACCCGGCCGGTGAGTCTTGCTCGAGATCCCAGTGGCTTGGAGGAGTCCACGGCGATGTCCACTTTCATCCTCCACTTCACTGTCTGCAGGAGGATCTTCTCCTGCGTGGCCATATTCAAAGCCACCAGCCAAGTGGTGAAGCTCTGGTCGCGTTTGATCCGCGTGAGCAAAGGCACGTTGCTCTCGCTCACCGGTACGGCCCATGTTACGCTGGGGTAGAAGTTATCGTTCATGCTGACAGAGAAGCGTGTGGGTTTGGATGCGGGGCCGGAGAGAGTCACCGTTTCCGTCGTGTTTCCGTACCACGGGTAACTCACCCCGTCTGAGTCGCTGATGGCCTTAACCAGTCCTTCTCGTAACTCTGGCAGCTCCCAGCTTGACCTGCGGAAATGAACGTTTAGAGGTGAAGCAAACAAACACGGTTGTGCTGTTGAATGTATGCTGTATGTGAAAGAAGGCGCCGAGTCCAAGTGTGCAAATGATAACTGGGGTTAAGGATGACATTCATTATCAGGGTCCCAGCTGCCTGTGTGAAATCAATGACTCTGTGTGAGAGGACATTAATGTGGCTGGGTGTTATTAGGTATGACCCCATGCTGGCATTTCTTCTTTGGTACAGCACCATCTGTGTCACAGTAAACCCCACGCAACCACCCGCTCAGGCAGCAATACACACCCCCACACACACATGTCCACACCTCCACACAGACAGGCCCCCCAGGCAGCATCAGAGGAGCCCACATCACGCGTCACAGGGCTTGTGGGTGGGTGTGAGAATGTCTCTATCTCGTCTGATGCGCTGTGTAGATAATTGCATTCGCCTGCAAAACTAAACTGTTTAGTGCAACCACGCTGATGTTTCAGAGCAGCTATTCTGTTTTTATCTGCTGCCTCTCCCCGTCTGATCCAGTGACAGGCTGTGAAACTCATTTGTGGGAGTATAAATGAAAGCAGAGACTGATGAAGGTGCAAACACTCCTCCCCTTAGGCACTGAGCTGATGTATGCATACTCTCTGAATATAAATCACTGCTGCACTGAAGTCGTCCTTTGCCATACACTATTTAAAGTCGTAATTGAAAAGCCTAATATAAATGAAAAATTAACTCATAGATGGGTCGATTTATACAAAGATGATTTGAATGTGATCAACTTTTTTTGAGTGAAGACTAAGAAAAACTAAGTGGTGTGACTGTCCAGAGGTTGAGGGAAAATAATGAAAAAAGTATCCTAAAAGGCTTAAATTCTTGACTGTATAAATGTTGACAAGCAGTTTGGCATATTTTTATTTATTTATGAATATGCCTATCTTTTGTTCTGGTAAAGGCATCAATAAAGAAAGTTTTAAGAAAACCAAAAAATATTTTTTTTTTATCAAAAGGATGTTTTGTTGCAGTCAGCATGAGTAACTTTAAGAAAAATACTGGTTCATGAATCATGACTCGGATGACTTACCTGTATTCAACATTCAAGTAGGTTGATGGCTATTTTGGAGTCATTTAATTCGAATTAGGCTAATTGTTTTTCAATAATTACAGACATACTTGCCATAATAAGTAAGAACTTAGCACATTTGTTTTAAACTTGATTTTTAAAAACTTTTATAATCTCTGACATCCTTATTAGCCACTGACCCAGATAAATGATTGCTTATCAATATGGCTTAATTCCCATATTTTTAGTTAATTTAGTGAAGAGCAAGGGCATAAAAGGCATAAAACATGCACCAGGCTTACATGCCGAGGTCTCCATAAGTGTTGTAAAATTCCATTTGAGTGCAGGCTTGAATCCAACCCACAACCCATGTCTCATTTCGAGGGATCGGCGGCATTACTATCCGGGCGGAGGCCTTGAAGTACGGGGTTCTGTAGCGGAGCACTATGGGTGAATTCTCCTCGATCACTGTCGGACAATGGTCAATAGTAGCAGACACGTCATAAACAACGATGTTCTCGCGTTTGATTCGTGGCTTGCAGGCGACACTCTGAAGGCAACCCATGGCTAGAGAGGGTCAGAATCAGGGTAATCGGCCAACCAACCAAGTAGGGTGTTTAATACTTTCAAATGTCCGGAAAAACGCGTCGATATAAGCTCATGTACAGTCCACGCGCCCAAAATAGTGATAGGCAACTCTAATAAAACAAATGTAGGCTATTTTAATAATAAAAAAATCAACAACAAGACATAAACGGGTGTCAATCAAAAGCACGTGCGTTCCCCCAAGTCAATGCCATTTAGATATGATCAACAGGTATCAAATAACTCTCTAGTTACTCGGGATCAACAACAGGTTGCAAGACCTCCGACCATCTCTTGATCTTCGGTGTGCCCATGCTTTGATTGTCACTCGCGATCGGGCTTAAGGGTTGTTTTGGGCTCCCACTTCAGTCTGATATGTACCCTTTCAAATCCGCATGGCCTTTTACAGCTCTTCGCCCTTTCATCCGTTTCTTTCTGGTCCGAGTTTTCATGTCACAACCGGAGGCAGGGCAAAAGCAGTCAGGTGTGGCGGACCGCTCGCCTCGACAAGAGCTGGTCGCGATTCTGTTTTTCTCGATTGATGTTTGCGCTTTCGGAACAACAGACAATCTTAAAGTATTTCATGATTTACGACGAAAGAGGAACCGCGAAAAGTATGTTACACAGCGGAGTTTTGCTCTCGATCACATCACAATTGACGTTCCGTTATTCCGCGTGTATTCCTTCAGTAAACACAGACATCAACACAAACACGCGAGGCGTCCAGATGAGATTGGATAAATCGTTGAAATGTGCACCATCAAAACGACTGCTATTCAGCTTTTAAATAAACCGTTCCCTTGTCCGTTGTTGATGTGCACGGCGTGGTCGCTGTTCTGTTGCTGTGGTGCTGAATGAACGGTCAGAGGCGCGTGGGAGTACCGGTGCACATTATAGCCCTCCTCACGTAGAGCTACACTCAGTTCATCATATAGAGCTCTCCGTTTAACAAAAGCAGGAAAAAACGATGTAATGCAATCATGGAATAGCTTATGAAATGCATGACTCAAGATTGATGTACACCGAGGTTGAACCCGTGTTGATAATGTTGGATCTTATGAAATCCTTTGTAATAGGCTATTCATAATTATTTTGTAATAGTATTACTTATCCAGGCATAGATAGGGCTTCACGATGTTGAACACATAATGATGTCTTTTCCGATATAGTTGGCTTGTGTAACACAAATTGGTTGATTTTTTTAAAAACAATAGGTAGGCTAGGGTGGAGATGTCATAAAATTAGATTTTTTTTCTATATACACGTGTGTAAACCTCGTTTCACGCTTTTCTTTTTTTTAAATCGTTGACTTTTAAGCCTATAGCTATAAGGGTCGACAAAAGACTTTTTTGCGTTAGAAGAAACTTCAAGGGATAGTTCACCCGTAAATGAAAATTCTATCATGAATTATTCAGCCTCATGTCGTTCCAACCCCGGAAGACTTTCATTCATCTTCGGAACAGAAATGAAGATCTTTTCAAATGAAATCTTTCTGTCTATTCATTGACAGCTACGCAACTGACACTTCGAAAAGTTAAAGGAGTAGTACTTTTAAAAAAAACTTTTGCTGATAATTTACTCGCCCCCATGTCATCCAAGATGTCCATGTCTTTCTTTCTTAAAAAAATCGAAAAGAAATGAAGGTTTTTGATGAAAACATTCCAGGATTTTCTCCATATAATGGACTTGAACGGTTCAAGGTCCAAATGAGAGTTTCAGTGCAGCTTCAAAGGGCTTTAAACAACACCAGACGATGAATAAGGGTCTTATGTAGCTAGCGAAACGATCGGTCATTTCAAAAATAAATAAAAAAGTTTAAGTTTTATAAGCACAAATGCTCGCCTTGCTTTGTTCTGTGATGAGCGTTCGTGACTCTCCTGTTCAAACTCGTTCATCAAAATGAACAAATCTTTTTTCGAGTCATGACTCAGGGGTCCTAGATAAGACCCTTATTCATCGTCTGGTGTCGTTTAAAGCCCTTTAAAGCAGCACTGAAACACTCTTTTGGAGCTTGAACCGTTTGGTTCCCAATGAAGTCCATTATATGGAGAACATCCTGGAATGTTTTCATAAAAAAACTTAATTTCTTTTCAACTGAAGAAAGAAAGACGTGGACACCTTGGATAACATGGGGTGAGAAAATTATCAGCAAAAGTTAATTTAAAAAAAAAAGTGAACTCCTTTAATAAATAAATCGTAAAACTAATGAATTGAGCGGTTTACTCCCAATTTTTTTTTGAAGAGACACGATCGTTTTATCTGATGAAGAGATTTAATTTAGACTTTTATTCACATTTAAACATTTATCAACAGACCTAAACCAAAGCTCATCTGAACCTGTCTGGCGCGAGAACAAACCTCATTGGTTCTTTCAGAAGCTCAAACGAGCTGCGTAACTGGTTCTCGCACGTCCATCAAACCAGCTTGAGCTTAAATTTACCACAACTGCTGTGTGAGGTGATGAATGTTGATGTTAATAAAAGCCTCAATTAAATCTTCATCATATAAAGTGATCGTGTCTCTGAAAACACACCTTTGACTAAACGGCTTAATTCAATATGGATTCCTTTTACAATCTCTTCGTTCACTTTTGGAAACTTCTAAGAGCCAGTTATGGATGGACAGAAGTTCAGATTTCATCATCTGCGGTCTGCAGAACACAAATGAAGATAATTTTGAACAAAATTATTCTTTGAAACAATATTAGGGTGAGTAATTTATGGGAGAATTTTAATTTTGGGGTGAACTTCATTAAGCGATTGCGCCAGAGAAAGCACGCACCTGCGTAAACCTTAAAGATAATTATTTATGCTCCAAGTCAAGAGAGCCCAAGATACAAAAGGCAATTTCACTGCTAACTTTAAGAGCAACATTTTCACTTGTAGAATTCTTGAATATAATAATTAGTTTTTGTAACTTTGATCCATATTTAACCTCCACTTCTCTCTTACATGTTAGGCTAACACAGGAAGATTATACAGCGCGAGAGACATGTTCCGCTTCTTAATTGGTGGCTTTCCGTGTTACCATGACAACAAACATAGACGGACTGTCGTCACTAAGGCCTATCTCATGTCAAATTTATCCGTCAGGGAAACATCACTGTGAAAATTGGCTGGTATCTTGTTAAGAGAGCGTGTGAGGTCAGAAGATGATGATGGTGATTAGTGAATCAGAACGCGGCCTGGAGAGTAAAGTGCAGTACATTTAACGTGTAGCCTACAGGTGTAGCCTAAATGTCATCAGAATGACAGCCGACTGCCTCTTTAGATCAATTGCTTTGTTGTTGTTTTTTTCTCATTTTTAGTTGCTTTAAATAAAAAAGTTGTAAATGTAAATGACTATCTCCCTATTCGTTTTTCTAAAGCATGAGCATCACACAAAACAACTTTAGGATGCCTACTTTCATTATTTAAGTCACGTGACATTAATATGAAAATATCTGATAGGAATTATACTAGTCACGCAGTCTGTTTCAAGAACACTAAGCACCACACAAAGAAACTGGTCAAAAAGTAACTTTTATGTTTTATCTTGTTTCCTTGTCTTATTTATTGTAGCCTTGTATTTTCTTAAAATATCATGTCATGTCTCTCTAAAGGCACAGTCTGCATTTACCAAATTTTCCAGCAGAGGGAGATATTGGTTGGATTTTCTGGTATGTGTATGGTGTGAAGTGCACTCTTTCATACACAATTTTTTTTCTTTTCTTTTTTTTTTTTTTTATTGTTTTAATGCATACAAATGTTTGCGAAGTCTGTAGTTCCGTTACCAGAATTTTATCATGTGAATCTATTTTTAAGTCGTTAAAAAAATAGCATAACATAGTAATAACATTTCTTTATTCAAGTTGTTTCTTATGTCCTCCGTAGTAGACACCAGTACCCTTTTATTAAGAACATTTAAAAGGCGCGAATAGGCAAAAACAGTTTTTTTTATTGTATTTTTTTTATTCACTAATTAATGTTTAGATTTCAAGCTTTTTTTTTCTCCAAACAATGTTATGAAAGATATAGCAGACTGGTTTGATATGCCATTTTACTTTATGCAATATGTGGGCCATAAGTGTCATTCCCATTCTGTGCAATCTATGTGTCTAATTAGCATTTTTAATGTTTTCTTGGGGAAACATATTATGAAAAAAGAATAATCTCACATTTCATAAGAATATTGATATATACTTTCTATCCTTATTCACTTGTTGTGTCTCCAAAATCCTGAGTCCAGAGTCCTGAGTCCTGATGTCCACTACAGAGCTCATGTAGGAAATAGATGCCCTCTTTAACAGAAAACCACATTCAGAAATAACAGATTCAATTACTGATAATTACAAAATAGTATATTTCAATAAGAAAAGACCAATCAGGGGGAGTTTTCATGGTTATACCTCTATACATTTGGTATCTCTGCAAAGCCCCGAATGTGCCTATTACAGGACATCCAGACTTAAAACTTCCACATGTATGTTGTCAGAGCAATGTGCTAAAATGTAATATCCTCTGAATCAGCTGGGGGTCAAAATGACAATGGAGAGAACTAGAGGAGAAGCGCGAGAGAGAGCGCGAGCAAAGGAAAGAAAAGGGAGGAAGCAGTAATCTTAGTTCAGCCACCTGGTTCTATTAAATCAGGTTTCTGGTGGAGTGGATTAAAGCTTGGGTGAGAAAGAGAACTGGAGAAAGAGCCGGGAGATGTCTGTCGGGTAGCCTGTCTGTCTGAGATGGTCCGGCGCTAATGGACAGGTTAAGATGGTCTGTAATCCTCCTTACATGGGTGGGTAAATAATCCTATGCCGAACAGGTCTAGGCCACTTTAGCATCTATTCAAAGCGTGTAATGTGACTCAGTGGAGGGACACGCATGAGAATCCTCCTTTAGTAAACAAGTACAACAAAACACTTAAATCCATGTAATCTAGAGGAAACTGGGCCCGTGGAGTAGACCATGAAATACCTAAAACATCTGAGCATTTCAATTGAATGTTTGCTTGGTGTGTTTTAAGGTGACGTGGAAAGTGTGTGTGTTACTGGGTGAGTTGCGGGAGGAGCACAGAAGCTGAGGAACTCATCAGAAACCTGTTTGTATCTGACCTTTCTGCTTTAATGAAATGTCATAAAGATAAAAGAGGAGTAATGTGTGTGTGCGCATGTACGCAAGGCCTGTTTGTGAGTGTCAGCAGAATATAAGCCTAGATATGTACGTTATACGTTGTCTTCCTCTTTCTCCCTCCTCTTTCTGTCTTTCTCGATGTAATAAAAGGTTAGAAATGCTGAAGCTCCATCTCTCATCACTATTCAATGCTCAGCTACATCACAAATGCCTGGAGACCATGACTCCTGCCAGACTTTCAAGCTAATTACGTTCAATCCTTTCACACTACCGTTCAATTATGAACATTTTCTTTGAAGAATTCAAACTTTTCCAGTTACAGTACATATTGTCACATCTGGGCTTAATTCATAAAAGGTTCATTAATTTAAAACATGTATAGTTTATACTATTAAAAGAGTGTTAGTGGAAAGTCAATATTGGAATCTAACCAAATCTTTGAACCCGTTTTTTTTTAGGCTATGAGCAAAGACAAGAACAAGTGTCCGTTGAAAGATAAAACTGGAAACAGAAGGCCCTTGTGTCTTTGCGGTCGTCTCTGTCTCATCTCAGAGCTTTGTGGCCTCACTTGCGTCACCTGATCACTTTTTTTCCACCGAGATTTTATTAGTGGATTGGACCATCTTTTTTTTTTGTATTTTGTATTAGTTTATTTTTACGTCTTTTCTAGCTCAGATTTGTCAAAAAATCTGATATTTATTGGGTCCTTTCACTAATAGGGTCTTTATTTTTTGTGGTGCTTCAGGATTGAAGAGTCCTCCAAACCCTCTT